CTCCCAGATAGACAAAGCCTCTGCCTCCTCCCTTTAATTAACCAGTAGCACCTGTTCATTTCCCTCGAGGGGCAGGAATGGCCAACCACAGCTGGGCTATAACCAGTACCCGGGGAAGGAAAACTCAAAACCACTGCAGGCCAAAGCCAAGCTGATCCAGAGAGTCCTTCTACCCCACCCCCGCCAGCCTTCAGCAGCGGCTGTGAGCAAAGGGGAAGACCAGCCTGCAGGTGCCTCCTCACTTCCTCGCTTCCTGAGGAATCTTGCCACACACACCTGGGTAGGGTGAGGACTAGGAGTTCCCTGGAATTAAACAAACAAACAAACAAACAAAAACAGATGGATGTGGAAAACTGAGACCAGCCTCCATCCTCCCTTTTCCTTTTTCTTTTCTTTCTTTATTTTTTAATAGATATTTGCCATAGGGTATGTGCACTAGCTGGAGAGAGACACAGAGAGGGAAAGTGTGAAGTCACCCCACTGCAATACCTTCTCCACTAGTCTCCTTTCATGATTTTGGGCACACACCCACAGACCCAATGTGCTTTTTCTTTTTTTAAGAGATTTTTTTTTTTTTTTTTTGCTATAGGGCACGTGCACTCACTGAAAAGACAGAGACAGAGAGACAGAAAGTGAGAAATCACCTCCTGGGGGGCCGGCCATGGCAGCAAGCCTTTCTCCTCCATTTTCCTCTTGGGATTTTGGGTGTGCACACACACGTGCCCAGTGTGAGTTTAAGCCGCCAGGTCCAGGACTCAAACCACAGTCAACTGCATGGGAGACTAGTGACTAGTGATGTAACCCTTACACCATCTGCTGGTCCTGCCCAATGTGTTTTTTTTGTTTTTTGGAGAGATTTTCTCTGTAGGGCGCGTGCGCTCGCCAGACAGAGAGAGACACAGACACAGCAAGCAAGAAATCACCCCCCAGGAGGGATGGTCACGCCACAATCCCTTCTCCTCCATTTTCCTCTTGGGATCTTGGGCACGCACGCACACGCGCCCGGCGTGAGTTTTAAGCCACCAGGTCCAGGACACGAACCGCGGTCGACTACGTGAGAGTCCAGCAACATAGCCATTACGCTAACCGCTGATTCCCCCGCCCAATGTGTTTTTCAAGTTGCTGGTCCAGACTCTGAACTGTGGAGGTGACCACGTGGTATCCAGTGCCGTCACCACCATGCCACCCGCTGGCCTGATCTTAACCATTTTTGAGTGGCGCCTTGTTCAGGGGATTAAGTACTTTCCCGTTGTTGAGCATCACCTCCACGGAAACACAGAACAGAAACTCCATTCCCACTGAACGTGAATTCCCTGTTCTTCCTCCTCACCCCCAGCCCATGGACTCCCACTGTACTTTCTGTATTTATGAATCGCATTTCTCTGGGTGCCGCATTTAAGTGGGACCATACGGTATTCTTTTGTGATGCTTATTTCATGAGGCATAATGTCTCTGGGAACATCTATGCTGTAGCACGTATCAGCGTGTCCTTCCTTTGGAAGGCTGAATAGTATTCCATCAATGTATATACGACAGCTTGTACATACTCGCTTCAGAAGCCTCCTTTAGCTTTTCAGTTCTTTTAAAAGATCTTCTCCCCTACTTGGAACTTCAGTAAATTAAAGCAAACATCTTTAAGAATGTCCTTGGTTTCCCTATTTTGCTCAATTTTAATCAATTTATTTTAATTTTTTTGAGAGGCTTTTGCTATAGGGCGTGTGCGCTCGCCAGACAGACAGAGAGAGACAGAGAGACAGAAAGCGAGAAATCACCCCCCAGAGGGGATGGCCACACCATAATCCCTTCTCCTCCATTCTCCTCTCGGGGTCTTGTGCATGCACGCACAAATGCCCGGTGTGAGTTTAAGCCACCAGGTCCGGGGCTCAAACCACAGTTGACCATGTGGGAGTCCAGCGACATAGCCATTACACTAACTGCTGGTCCCTCAATTTATTTTAATTTGACCAGAGAGAGAGAGAGAAAGTGAGAAAGCAAGCCACCAGGTCCAGGACTCGAACTGTGTCAACCATGTGGGGGTGTCCAGCTCCTTAACCACCATGCTACCTGCTGTTCCCCTAGACTATATTCTTACAAGTACTGTGTTTTCCAATATAGATATTGAAAACAATCCACGTGTAAAGTGGCCCCTTTGGCCCAAACCAGGGCAGTGCGCACACATCTGCAGTTCTTGCCTGTATGGACAGCGTGCAGTGAGGCCAGTCACCCGTCCCTACTGCCATCGCCAAGGCCCAGCACCACACAGCCAGGCTCATGAACTGAATGAAGCTCCGCCTCACTCCTCACTCCATCGGTCACGGAGGACAAGCAGGTGTTCTGGGCTCCCCCCCCCCACTTCCCCCAGCCCCTTTCTACTCCCTTGACTCAAAATGTTTGCCTTTCATTTTATTCAGCGGAAAAAGAACAGTTTAGTTGTCTCCCTGGATATTACTGTCACAGGCCCCAGCGACCTAGATGGCCTCTTCCTCAACAGCTGACTGTAGAGCTCCAGGTGACCACCGGCCACAGGACAGGCAGACAGGTGCCTCGTTCACAAATCCTGCCAAAGGCACCCAGCGCTAATTCCTCTCCCAGCCGGGCCAAGCTGGGGAGCATGCAGGATGACAGAGTGAGGCCCATGGCCCAGGGGTCTGCCCACTGCTGGCTCCAGGGGCCTGTGGGGGGAGGCTCTGTGCCTTGGCAGTCACTGCCGCTGCTCCTGCTGCCCAGGTTGTGACCCAGCCCCTGGGACTGCTGGGGCCAGGCTGGTGGCCAAGTCATTTCCCACTTCTACAGCGAGCATCAGCTCCTTCTTCCAGCTTCCTGTGTAGAAATGCCGCAATCTCCATTCAACTCAATGTTGGACAGAGGGCCAAGTCTGAAATGCCAGGTCTGGAGTCTGCCTGACCTTTCTCTCTGGGGGAACAGTCCTTGCCAGAACTTCAAGCCTCAATGAAGACTTCCTACTCAAGCCCAGTGTTGAAAGTTCAAGGGACAGGCCCTCATTTAATGTCTAGCCAAGAGAAACTCTTGGAGATTGATGGCATTTCAGGTCAGGCATATCTGGTTTGGGCCTGGCAGAGCCCAGTGTCTGACAAGAGAGGCCAGAGGACAGAGTGCATCCAAACAGCTGGGTGAGAAGGGCATCCGTTAAAGCGCAGCTCTCCTGGTTCCGAGCCTCTCGGGATGGGGTCCAGAAACCTGCCTAATGAACAAAACCTCATTCCCGCCATCCCCAGGAATTCTGGTGCTCACTGAAGTGTGCAAAGCATTGCCCATCCAGTCTGATAGCAGTAAGAAACCAAGGTGCTTCACTCTCCTGAAATACCGAGAGGACACTCTGCCCCACGATCCAGATTTCAGCAAAGTAAGAGTCAAATCCTTAACTTCCACGCAGACTCCAGAAACCCTATGCCGAGGTGCACATGTGGGTGTGCGTGTGCATGCATGCGTGCACGGGGAGTGTCACGGGAAGGGAACACTACTGATGCCAGGTCCAGGACTTGAACGATGCAGTTGGCCACGTGGGATCCAGCTGCCTTAACTTCCATGCCACCTGCTGGCCCCACAAAACAAACTTTTTTGGGTTGAATGGTTTGAATCCTGGACCGGATGGCTTAAAACTGGCTGGGGATGTACACATGCATGCCTCCCTTAAAAAGGGGGACCAGCAGATGGTGTAATGGTTACATTGCTGGACTCCTACATGTCCAACCGTGGATCAAGTCCCAGACACGGAGGCTTGAAACTCACACCGAGTGCATGTGTGTGCATACTCAAAATCCCAAGAGGAGAATGGAGGAGAAAGGGTTGCCGCATGGTCATCCCCCAGAGGGGTGATTTCTTATTTTCTGTCTCTCTGGCAAGTACACGCACCCTATAAGAAAAATCTCTCTTTAAAAAATTAAGTAAATAAATAAATAGTCATTTATGTAGATTTCCTAGTAATGAATACCAATAAGCCAGGACTGCCCAATCAGCCTCCCGAAATGTCACAGCAGTTTAGACCCCTACTGGTAGCACCCAGTACCTGCTAACTCTGCTGGTCTGTCCCCTCTTTCCTCCCCACCTGGCCTTATCTTCCTAAAAATGAGAACCACAGGGGACCAGCAGTTAGCGTAATGGCTATTTCGCTGGACTCCCACATAGTCGACTGCAGTTCGAGCCTCGGACCCGGTGGCTTGAAACTCATACCGGACGCGTGTGCATGTGTGCCCAAGATCCCAAGAGGAGAATGGAGAAGGGATTGTGGCATGGCCATCCCCCCTGGGGGGTGATTTCTCACTTTCTGTCTCTCTGTCTCTGTCTGTCTGGCGAGCAAACGCGCCCTACAGGAAAAACCTCTAAATAAAAAACAAAAAAGAGAACCACACAGAGCTAATGCCATTAGAATCTCCATACATGTGTGCATGGAGAGGTGGCTGTGGCTGTGGCAGGCCTATTTCTTGTGACAGGGAGAGGACAGGTAAGCAATTCTTACTCTGGTTCCAATGGTTTGACTTTAGGTGAGTTTACTGTGGCTCCTGGTCCAGGTCTGTCTGCTTGGATTCACTTCAGGGCTGCAATGACCCAGTTTCCTTACCTGCAGGAGGCTCAGGTACAGGCTCCACTGGAAGGGGAACCTTCCAACAGGGCCTGCCCCCGGCTCTGGGGCAGGAGGCGCAGTCACAGGACCCATCTGCAGGACAAATTTCCCTGAACAAGTCACAATCCCCCTTGGAGAGCCAGGGCAGGAGCTTGCAGGTGCCTGCAGGGCAAATTGCCCAACAGCAAGGATCTTTTTAACTTTATTTATTTATTTATTTATTTATTTATTTATTCATCTAGAGAGGGACAGAGAGAGAGAGAAAAAAAAAAAAAAAAGTGAGAAAGCAAACTGCTAGGTCCGGGACTTGAACCACAGTTGGCCACGTGTGAGTCCAGTGCCCTTAACCAGCACATCACCTGCCAGCCCCTGGAAGGTTGTTCTATGGAACAAGATATGCTTTCTTTTCCAGGGACTTCCTCTCCAATAGAGCCCTCTGAAACCATCAGTTGGCAAGAACACACTGAAATAAGGTTGCCAAACCACGAAGAGAAAGACCAGATTCATGGTGGGTGCCTTCTCCTTCTCCTTTTCTTCCTCCTCCCCACTCCACTTCTTTTTTGTTTTTGCTATTGGGTGTGTGCATGCACTCATCAGAGAGAAAGAGAGATCCCAGCAGGTGTGTGTGTGTGTGAAATCACCCTCAAGGGGGAGGGCCACGCAGCAACCCCTTCTTCCCCAGTCTTCTCTCCAGATTTTGGGCGTGCAGCACACGCCTTCAGCACAATTTTTCAAGCCACCAGGTTCAGGACTGAAACCATGAGGTTGGCCATATGGGATCCAGCACCTTAACCTCCACACCACCTGCTGTCTTGTGAAGATATTTTCTAACATTCAAATGGGGTTTTCATTAAGGGGAGCATTTGTTTTGTATTTGCTACTTTGGTGGAAGTCACTTACCAAGATTACAAAGCCGCTGCTCTGGGGAAAGGCCCACTCAGCAGGCTGCCCCAGACGGGGAGGCTTAGCCCCATAGGAAACAGGCATTGTGAGTGCCCACACTGAGGAAAAGCTCTCTCAGATTTCTTGCTGCGGGCATTTCTGCCCTTCTGAATCAAGTAACCTGATGAAACCGTCTCCTCATCCACCCTGAGGGCCTCAGGAAATATTTGATTCAGTACTAGTTGATTCAAATACTGGAAAAGCAAACCCCAAACAAGCCGCGATAGCAATCAAGTTTTTGGAACAGTTTTACTTGTAAGCAACCAGCTCCCTGACCTACGTGGAATACAAGCCTTCAGAATAAAGGAAAAGCTCAGCACTCTGCCTCCTGGCCCAGCGTTTCAGGTGATGTTCGGTCAACACGCCTGGACACTCTGCTCCTGCTAACTGGGGAACACATGCTCGGGCAGAGCGGGCTGCCCCGAACAGGAACTGGCAATGAACCAGCTCCCAACAGCTGGGTTTGTTCTCCGCAAGAGTTGCTAAGAGTTGCTTTTTTTGTTGTTGCAACCTTAGTGCCGACATTCAGCTGGAGATCTGAGGCCTTGGCTAAGGCAGGGTTGTGGGATCACAGAAGGGAGCCCAATGGGGCCTCCCCATGGTTAAGGGAGCCAGATCCCACATGACTGACCACACGATTCCATTCCTAGTTCTGGTGGCTTAAAAAACATGCTGGTTTCATATGTGTGCATGCCAAAATCCCAAAAGGAGGGAGAAACGAAGGGATCAGGGTGTGACCATGCCCTGATGAGAGAGGCTTTCTTCCTCCCCTCTCTCTGTCTCTCTGGCAAGTACATGTGCCCTGTGACATAAACAAATGCAAAATTTAAATAATAATAAGAGGAAGGGAATTCAACAGTTTAGAAAAAGAAAACCCTCTCCCAGACAGTGAAAGTGCCTCAAATTTCTCACATCAAAAGTCAGTTTTTGTATTCAGAAGGATGAAAGCCAAAAAGTTTTGGATTCAGAATGTTCTAGAGCCTCCCCAGGCAAGTGGCTTCTTTCTTTAAAAAAAAAAAAAAAAGTTTTTTTTTAGGGTGAGTGCACTTGCCAGAGATAGAGGGAAAGTGAAAAATCACCTCCCACAGGAGATGACCACATTGCAATCCCTTCTCCTCCATTCTCCTTTTGGATTTTAGGCATGCATGCACATGAGCCCAAGATTCAAACCATGCAGCTGGCCATGTAGGATCCAGCCATCTGGTTTTGTTTGTTTGTTTGTTTGTTTTTAAGGTTCTTTGCCATAGATGCATGCATTTGCCAGAGAGAAAAAGCAAGAAATTGCCCCCTTCTCCCCCATTCTCCTCCTAGGATTCTTTTTTTTTTTTTTTTTTTTGGAGAGGTTTTTGCTATAGGGCGCGTGTGCTCGCCAGGAAGACAAAGAGAGACAGAGAGATAGAAAGCGAGCAATCACCCCCTCAGAGGGGATGGCCACGCCACAATCCCTTCTCCTCCATTCTGCTCTTGGGACCTTGGGCATGCACACACACGCGCCTGGCATGAGTTTAAACTGCTGGGTCCAGGACTCAAACCACGGTCGACTACATGGGAATCCAGCAACATAGCCATTATGCTAACTGCTGGTCCCCTCCTCCTAGGATTTGAGGCACGCACACACAAGTGCCTGGCGTAATTTTCAAACCTCCAGGTCTGACACTCTAACCATGGTCAACCAAGTGGGAGTCCACTGCTATAACCACCATGCCACCTACTGACCCCAGGACCCAGCCATCTTAACTACCACACCAGCAGCTGGCCCCACAAGTGGAGTTAGATATGGTGTGGGACCAGACACCCCAAGCCCAGATGACCCCATGTGCATCATCTCCAGGGCTTAACCTGGAATCCTGGCCCAGAGAGGCTGCACACAGTGAACCGAGCCTTCCCTGTCAGCTCCTTCCTCCCTCAGATAGCCACTTGGCTGCTCCCTCACCCCAGTCAGCCTCTGCAAGAGGGACACTTGCTAAGCCATGAATTACCCTATCTGAAACAGCTCAGTACACTGCTCTGTTCTCCCTCACGGCACGGATGACTACTTCCCATTATAATTTATATTTATGTGTCTAATATTTGTCTCCCTAGTTAGAATGTATGGTGCATGGATGGGGACAGTCTTATTTCCAGTCAGGTGGGTCCCTGGGTCTCCAGACAGTGCCAGGCACATAGTAAGAGCTTGTGTTCATTAAGTCTTAAAGTCAGGGTTGAGTCCAACGCCAAGCAGCAGGTATCTCACTGCTCAAACATGGATTCCTCCACGAGCTACGTACTAGAGTGTGCCGTCTTCAGGAGTTGGGGGTATCAGTGGGAGAAAGGGAGATTGCCTGGGGGGGGGACCAGACCCACCCGTTTGTCCGCAGGTGCAGCCACCAGGATTACGCAGTCAGGGCTGCGGGGGTGTTAATTGTAATTTCTCCTCACAGCCACGAGATGGCACCATTGCCCAGAGTTTCTACTCCGAAAGCCAACTATTCCTAGCAGGTAGGCTTGGAATTCCGTGCGCCTTTTTTCTCCCCTCTCCCCCTTCCTTTCTTCCCTACCCCCACCCCTCCTTTTCATACACGGCCTTTCTGGGGGTCGTAAGTAAGAATACAGCAGAAGCCTCTGGTGATAAAGCTCAGAGAGGCAGAGGTCCCCCGAGCTTGATCTGCGGCTGCACCAGGTGCGGCGGCCATGACTGGAAAGGCTGGAGGCACCTGCTCCTCCTCCTCCTCCCTGGCCCAGGTGGGAGGTGGGAGGCTTTCGGCGGCAGTCGCGGGGTCCTCCTCCCTTTACCCTTCCTCTTTCCACACACCACCCCCAGCGAGCTAGTATTGAAAGTGCCTGCCTTCAGATCCATTCTGGGTCATCTCCCGCCCCTTGAGAAACTGTAAACACGCAGAGAATGTCTCCCAGTGGGGTTCTGAGGCCTTTCCCTCCCTGGTATTTCAGCCTAAGGAAAAAGCAATCCGTGGCTTGGGGGTGGGGGCCAAGCTTGCAATAGCTGCGGACCAATCTCCTGGGACCGGGCAGGGCTGCCGGCTAATTCCAGCCGAGGGTCAGGGCTCTGGAGCAGCTCGCAAACAACTTCAAAGCTCTGCCCGGCTGCATCGGAAGGGGCCTGGGGAGAGGTCGGATGTCCCCTTGGCGGCAGACTCCCTGTGGCTTTCAGAAGACCCAGCAACCCTGCAAACGCTGGGGGAAAGGCCTCTCCCAAGTCAGGGTTGACAGAGCCCTAAAGCTGGTTCTTCCTCCAGTACCCCTAGTTTCAAGGCAAAAGTTGGCATCTGGCTTTGTTCTACGTTAGGAGCAGAAGCCAATTTCACCTCTGCAAACAGGCTGGGACTGAGAACCAACGCTCGCCCCAGGAATAACGAGTGCACCCCACTTCCGTTCTGCCGGCTCCTGGACCTGGTTAAACCGTGACACAGCTACTTCACAGGGAATGGTAAGAAATACCAATGGGGAAGGTCACTTAGGGTGATAATTAGGACAATCATTAATGTCTGAGGCCTGAGAGTGACTCATTTATCTCTGATATGCACAGGGATCAAAGGAGGGTATTTAGGGCCTAGAAACAGACCTCCCATTCTTTTCCGGAGATAATAAATAATTAAAAGCTCCCTGACCTCACTTCCTCAACCATCGCTTCCCAGCCCTGTCCTTTGTCTTAACTGTCCCTGTGCAAGTACCAAGCTGCCTCTTGCTTCTCTCCACTCTTCCCCTTCCTTTTTCAGGAATCTCTTTAAAGCAGATAACCTGTCCTCTGCTGACTCTGAGAACCTGGGCTGTGGAGTGAGAGGTAATGACCCTCTGTCCCCAGGGCAGAGCGCGAGGCAGGTGGAAGGCAACCACCCAGGCGGGCTCTCCCTGGGCACTGGCCATCCTTACTTGGATTGGGTGTGCCTGTCAGTGACTGCATAGGCTAGGAACTTGACTGTCACTTAGCTATGTGACCTTGGGCAAGTTGATTAACTTCTTTAAGCCTCAGTTTCTCAATATGCAAAATAGTGAGGTAGGAGACAGGGAGCCCAAAGATATAGACAGGATATAGGCCCCAAATGGAATCACAAAATGGCTGAGTTTTGCAATGGAGGCAGTGGTGGCTCGGTGATTGACCTAGGTGGCTTGACCGAGACTTAAACTAAAGGCTTTTTCCAGGCCCTACCCCATTCCAGGAACAAGACAAGATAATGGCTTTAGTGACCCAAAACTTCAAGACAAAGAATCTCCAGCCCTTGGTACCCACTTCAAAATGAGGAGAATAATTAGACCCCTCCAGCATGTGCCCCTCCGCACCAGGAGGGGAATGCATGCACAAGCCCCACCTAGAACAAATCCAGGCAAACATCTTCCTGACCCAAATTAAAAAAAACCCTTGCCACAGTTCTTCCTTGGCTAGCCATTTTCCGAGACCCCTCCCTTCTTAGGAGCTCTGTTTTTCCTTCCCTCTCATTTAATAAACTCCCGCTTTGTTAATAAGCTCCCCACTTTACTATACCTACTCTGAGTCCACGACGCTAATTCTTCCTGAGCGTGAGACAAGAACCAGTGTCTCACTGCAAGTGTGGGCTTGATCACCCCTGCGTGTGGGCTTTATCCCAGCATCAAAGGCAGCCTTAGGAGGAGGACAAGTCAATATGGGTAATAAAAGCATCAAAGGCTGCCTTATGAGAACAAGATAAGATAAGATACATAAAGTACAGGCCAGAAAGTGAAGCAGGTGAGACTCCATCTTAAAGGAGAGACTCCATCTTGGAGGAGTGTCTCCATTATAAACTGTTAAATTCCTATGACTAACTCAGGGCTGATAGCTGTCTAAGGTTTCTGCCCTCCAGCAAACTTATTGCCCCTCCCTGGAGCTACAGGGTAACCTGAAAACCTTGGGTGGGTTAGTACTTTGAAGAGATTGGTACCTTAGATTTTCTGCTTCTCTGACTCCTTCCTTTGAAGCTGTGTAGGGCGGGATCTGAGCCCAATTCCCCCATAAAAGACCATGTCTAACCCCCGTCAGGTCAGAGATTTTGAGTGTTAACTCCTCTGTGCCCACCAATGCAATAAACAGTTCTCCTAATCTCTCTGAGTGCTGCTTTCCATTCCTCGGTATCTGGTTTTCTGCAACAAAAGTAGCAAGGAGGTTAAGGCACTGGATCCCACATGGCAGTCTGCATAATTCGAGTCCCGGATCCTGCAGCTTGAAAAATACACAGTGTGCGTGTGCTTGCATGCCCAGAATGCCAAGAGGAGAAGGGATTGTGGTGTGGCCATCCACCCGGGGGATGATTTCTCACTTTCTACCTCCCTGTCTCTCTCCAGCAAGTACACTTGCCCCATGACAAAAATCTAAAAAAAAGGTAAAGTGCTTAGAACAGATACAAAATGATGGTGGCTACATTTGTCTACCTCAAAATCCTCCTTTTCTTTCTAAGAACTTGGGGCTGAGGTTCAAACTGAGTCCTCCATGTTCTGTTGTGGCTTCTGGAGATGCTGAGGTGAGGATGTAGTTTAAACACACACACACACACCCCATCAAGGACGATTATTATAACCGGAATCAGATCACACGAGAGAGATCTTCAGCCTTACAGGTGCCATGGTCATGGTTTCTTGATGGTGGCACTCTTAATATTTTAGACCAGATCATGCTTGGTTGTGGGGACTGTCCTGTGCATTTTAGAATGTGTAGCAACCTCTCTGGTCTCAGCACACTAAATGTCAGTAGCAGCCCTTCTAGTCATGACGATCGAAAATGTCACTAGACATTGCCAAGTGTCCTAGGGGCTAAATTGCCCTGGGTTGCAAAGCTCTGCTCCAGGAAGATGAGGTAGGGGCATCCCCGCAGTGGTCAGGCCGACCCTCAGGGTTGGGTCAGGTTGGCCTTCTTGGAAGGTGAGCTCTCATGGTTTTTCCTGGTAAGGCTGTAGTCCAGCTTCCTCAGGAGGTGATGGCCTGCTTAGACATGGACTCCTGGATTCACCGTAGCCTGAACCAGCCCCAGGAGCCAAGGAACAGTCCCCCAGCAGCATGGAATGCTCACCGGGTCAATGGACAAGATGGACACAGGGTCAGTTCTCATCTCGGAGCAGAGCACACAGCCAGGCTGCCTCTGCCACTCACTGTGTGACCTTGGGCAAATCGCTTGACCTCTCTGTGCTCCAGGATTATTATCTGTAAAATAAGGACACTAGTAACAGTTACATCAAAAGGTTATTATGAAAATCAAATGGTTTCTGATCTGTAAAGTGCTTCAAACAGAGCACATAGTCAATGCTACGTGCCAGAACCCAAACAGGAGTTGCTACAGACCAGAAAACGTCTGCTGTGGCCAAAAGTCTAGCAGACATATTTCTGCAGGTCCCTGCCCATCTGCACCAAGGGCAGGGGAGAGTGGAGTGGATGATGGGGGTTGTAAATCCTTAGATTATTTCCCCTAAAAAGGTTGTTGTTCTTAGGGAAAGTTCATTTGAACTGAGAGAAAATTCAGAGCAAAGGGCTCCAAAAAGTTCCACTAAATAGCCCCTGGGGATTTCTTTAATTCCAGAGTGGTAAGAGGAAAAACTTTTCCTCTATCCATTTAGTTTTGAGCAGGATTTCTTCCATTAGAACTGACTGGTGATGGATTAACAGGAGAAAAGACAAGGTCATTAACACCTGGGAGCATCAGTAATGAGCCCCTTTAAATAAATAGCCAAAGATAAAAGTTCATATACTGTCTTAATGGAAGGGGAGGTGGGTGCTATGGGACTTCAAAGAACAGAAGGTTCTGGTGAGGCAGTTTGCATAGTGTTTCTGGAATGCATCAGTGCCCAAGGCCAGTCTTCTCTGACTGGAGACTTAATCAAATAGGGGAAGTTCAGTTAAGGATTTCTTTCTGCACCTGCTGTTGGGATTTTGGTCCCACAAAGGGAAGTACTTTAGGAGGGAGAAGGAGTGAGGGAAAGAACACGAAGTGAATGGCTGTGACCTTTTGGAAGCCCTAATATTTCCTGTCTGGCAGAGGAGGTGAATCTCTAGCCTGGAAGCCTCCCCGAAGACATAGCAGGAAAAACTTAGAGATGCCAAGTGCTTTGTGCCAGTTATCTATCACTCGGTAACAAATTACCCTAAAACTTCGCAGCTTCAACATTCATCATCTCTAACCGTATCTGAGAGTTGGAATGGTTCTGGCTCAGGATCTCTCCTGAGGTTTCATTCAAGGGACCAGCCAGGGCCACTGTTCTGGGAGGACTTGACTAGGCTGAAGGACCCGCATCCAAGATGGCTTCTCACATGGCTGTGGGCAAAAGGCCTCAGTTCCTGACCATGAGGCCCTCCAAGAGAGCTGCGTGAATGACTGCACAGCCTGGCAGCTGGCTTCTTGTAAAGTGAGCAGCCTGAGGCAGAAACTAAGGCAGATATCATAATGTCTTTTCTCAGCCAGTTTCGAAGGCATATACATCACTTCTGCTATTTATGACCAACCCTGACACAGTGTGGGAGAGGAGTATACACGGGCAAGGAAACCAGGAGATGTGGGTCACTGGGCATGTTCTGAGAGGCTTGGCTACGACAGGCTTTCAGTTCTCCCCTGAGAAGAACACTCCCCTAGGGACTGTCCCAGGTATCAGCTAGGCTCAGCCACATCCTTGCAGAGGCTGAAGACCCAAGGGGCTGGGGTGGGATTTGGTGCTGCTACTCACTACCTCAGCCTGGTCTCGCTGACGAACACACCCACTCAGAATAGGGTGAGTCATCCCAGCTGCAGTGGCGCTTACTGCTAAGATGCTGCTGCCCTAAGTATGAGACTACAGGGAAGACCTGGGTTGGATTCCTGGTCCAACATGAAGACTGAGTGGGAACCAGCAGTTAGCGTAATGGCTATGTTGCTGGACTCCCACGTAGTCAACCGCGGTTCGTGTCCCGGACCCGGTGGCTTAAAACTCACGCCGGGCACGTGTGCGTGCGTGCCCAAGATCCCGAGAGGAGAATGGAGGAGAAGGGATTGCGGCGTGACCATCCCCCCTGGGGGGTGATTTCTCGCTTTCTGTCTCTATGTCTCTCTCTGTCTGTCTGGCGAGCGCACGCGCCCTACAGTGAAAATCTCTCCAAAAAAAAAAAAAAACATGAAGGCTGAGTAAGCGGGCATGCACCTGTCACCCTGTAACTCGGGAGGCACAAGGCTGGCCTGGGGGATACAGTGGGACCCTATCTGAAAAAGAGTCAGGTTTATTGGCTCCTGAGGCAGCTGGTAGACTGAGGCAGGAGGATAACAACAGGAGACCTGTCTTAAAAAAAAAAAATGAAAAAAAGAGAAAAAGAGGATGGGGTGCATCATTCTGTTGTGGTTTATTTCAAAGCACAAATTTGAGTGACCTAGGCCCAGAGAGGAAGCAGCGTTTGGAATTATAGTGAAGAGTTTTTCCATTGGTCTGGTCAAAAAAGGTGTGGAAGCAGGGGATGGGGCTTGTA